GCTTATTAAGATGCTTCCAAGTTACTACCAACATGTTTGTCGGTATGAAAACTCACTAGGTGGCGTGAAGGTGAAATCAAACCCAGAAACAGAGGGAAAGAAGAGAGAGGACGGAGGGGGGCCAAAATCAAACCCACCCTCACGATCCAAGGCTTTCTTTGTTTCTGCAACATCAGGATCAATTACATCTTCAATGCATATACATCGATCGATCGATCAAACCCATCTTCCTTCCTTCTTCTCCTCTCTCTCTTTTCTTCGTTTCGTTTCTGTTCTGTTCTGTTCTGTTTTTTTTTTTAAATTGAAATTTCCCCCAAAATGAGTCGTTTTGGGGGTGCCGCATGGATGGCTGTAGGATTGTGCGGCCGAGGATCCGGACTCTAGTATAAACACATATAAAAAACTTAATTAGAATGATGTGACAATATTATTGTTGTGAATAAAATCATTTTTAATGATATTTTATTTTGAAGTAAAAAATTTGTAACAAACCAGAATTTTTTTTTTATATAGCGTTACTCAATTATTATTATGAGTAAGAATCCTCTAGAGTTTTTTTTTTTTCTTAAAGTTTTCTAGAGTTGTGTGGTTAAGATTTAATGACAAGTCACATCAATTTTTTAGCATTAAATCTCACCCACACAATACACTACTTTAAGAAACTTTAAGAAAAAAATACTCTAGAGGATCCTTGGTGTATTATTATTATTAATTTTTTATTTTTTATTTTTATTTTTTTCAAATCAGCCAATTCAAACGGGGAGGGAAAGGCTAACGACTCTTAGCAAAGAAGCAAAAATGTATGTATCAGAGCTGGGGTGAGAGCTGAGTGGGAGTTTGCATTGCAATTTGCCAGAATGGAGAATACTCACCAAGCTCTCTTCTTCGCTATGTATAATCCCTCCTTCTCCACTCTTCCTATTTCTTCTTCTTCCCCACCCCTAACCCTAACCCTACTCCTCTCCCTCTCCCTCGACTCAGCTCCCGATCGACCTCCTCCACCACCGCCTCCGCCGCCATGGCGTCCTCCTCCGTCCAACGTCGCCAACGCCGCCGTCTCTCTGTAAACACCACCGCCAACCTCACTCTCACCTCCGCCGAAAAAGTGATCGGAGACGACGATTTGCTCAGCCGGATCCTCATACGCCTACCGGCGAAACCTCTATTCCGATTCAAGACCGTATCCAAGAGATGGTGCTTTCTCATTTCGGATCCTTACGTTCTTCAACGCTGGATTCCTCCGAAATCTCCTTCCTCTTTCTTCTTACGAAGGTATTCTCGCTTTTCTCACAATATCAAATTCAACCATGTATCTCTCAATGGTCTTGTTAAACACAACCGTTCAATTGCTCCTCTATATCTCGATTTCTTCGATGACCGCGACCTTGTCATTATTTCCAAGTCCTGTAATGGCTTATTGCTCTGCACTTCCTCTTGGCCCGGTTTGGATTGTTGTAATCACAGCCGTTGCTATGTTCTCAACCCTACCACCCACCAATATTCCACCATTCCTAGGCCTGTTGACGGGGGTCTCTACGACCACATAGTTTCCATCAACTTAGCATTTGACCCCTCTCTTTCACTTCATTACAAAATAATTGCTCTCATTTCCAGAAGAGACCTCAGCCCTGAATACCGAATTGCTGTATATTCGTCCGAAACTCAAACTTGGGTGATTTCTGTACCCATTATTTACCCATCGGATATGATAATTGCAAATGGTGTATTCTCTGATGGTAAAATCCATTGGCTTCGTCGCCACTCAGATACATCAATAGCTTATGATATTAATCGAAATGAATCCTTCCCATTCCCGATGCCATATAGTCTCACAAATTCCCCAGCCTATTTTGGGGAGTCTGGAGGTTATCTACTGTTCATTGAATCTATTCAAAATTGGGGTAATCAGTTTGATGTGTGGGGGTTGGAGAGCGACTATTCTCACTGGTTTGTGAAATATCGTGTTGACCTTGAGATGGGTGCATTGACTTTTCCAGGGATAACGTATGAAGTCGAAGTGCTTTGCTTCCTTGGAGGAGAAGTTGAAGGAGATTTATGCTTGATCTTCTACCTATCTTGTCAAGTCATATCCTATAACTTCAAGGATAGAAGTTTTAGGAAGGTTTGCAATTTGAAGCTGCGTCCTCTTGATATTGAGAATATACAAGTGTGTCCATCAGCTTTCATCCATCCATGCATGGAAACCATATTTAATGTTTGATGGCATTTCTTTGGAAAATAATTGGTGTCGTCTCCATTTCAATGTTTCATTTGTTTCCTTTCTAGTTTTTTCTTCCTTCTAGTTAAGAATGTTTTTTCCCCTCTCTTGGTGTAATAATTTAACAGTTGTAAGCTTATTTATGCCTTTTGCAATGAAATGGTTTTTAATATCAAGGATGTGTCATTTATGATATGTTTAATTGATTTTATTTCCTGTTCGATTAAATTTATATATGGCTTTTGCAATGAAATAGTTTTGTAACATCAACGACGTGTAATTTCTAATATGATTGATTTTACTTCCTGTTTGAGCTTATTGAGTTTCTAAGTAAGAACGTAATTCAAAACTTTGGTGCGGTGATGAAATGATGATGCATTTGCAAAGGCTGTGACCAATCAAAAACCTACATTATCTTTACTATCGGTGGGTGCCAAAGTAATGATGAGTGAATGAAATATATTAAAAAACATGGTTGGATAATATTCAGAAAGAAGATTTAATGTATTAATGAAGTTAAACAAGTTGAACTTGAATAATAGGGTTTAGGATGCTTTGTGTTTCCTCTTAAAGGGTCTCAGGATAGAAATGTAGAAATGACGTCATGTCAACGTAAGATTTGTTAGTATATGTTCATCGTGAATATTGTTTGAATTTATAATTCTGTTCTTGTTTCTCAGAAATGAAGCTGTTTATTGCCAATAACCTGCATTTCTTTGGCAACAAATCATTGATGCACTTCCCTTTTCCTGTATTTTTTCCTTAGAATCTCAGTCATGTACTTGCTTTGTAGAAATGACAAAGCAATAGACCTCTTCTCTTCATTGCTTTTATTTATTCTTCTTCTTCTTCGGCTGGGAAGACAAAAGGAAACTTGAGCCCCTAACATCAAAGGTTGACAAAGCATCAGATTGCATTTGGCCTACAAGGCTGTTGATCTGCTGTAATAGATTTGAATTGTAATCTATGTACCTTCTCTCTCGTCCGCTATTTCTCTTTCGTTACTAGTGTGTTTCTTTTCTTTTCTTAATGCAGTTCTACTTTAATATTTCATTTTGTTTGTACCAAATTTAAAATCAATTCTGTTTTTACTTCCTTTCAATCTTTATTTTTTGTTACACGTCATGTTTCTAACCAACCAAGTATATATGTTTGTTTCTTTCTAGTAGTTGTCAATGATGACATTATTAAAAAAAGAGAAAAGAAAAAAATGTTTGGTTGACTCAGATTTAGTTAGATTCACTAGATGACACAGGTTGGTTCTACTCCTTTTCATCCCTATTATTTTCATACATAGGATTAAGATGGTATATTTTTTTTCCTTCTTATTTTCAAGTTTAGATCTTTTTGTTTTAGTAAATGAATGTGTTTGTACTTACAATACCCAGGTTGATTGTCAACTGTTTTCTAAGTCTTTTTTGCTCTGCTTACTTCAAAGTATTGTGTGATCTTTCATATAGTATTGGTATGGAAATTCATATAAAATCTAATTCCTCCTATGCATATTTAATAAGATTTGTTTGAATAGTTCATACCAATGACTAGTAAAACATAAAGTATGAATAGAATCGTAGTAATCATTGTACTACCATCGTAAACCTAAAATTCAATTTCAACGACATTTGGAGCCTATATTCTTTTGCTTCATTAAATTTGCAATTGAAGAATTTATTAGGGTCACTTTTGGTACCGTCCAAACCTAATAACTGTATTTTTGCAAGAAGTCAACATTTTTTTTTTTTTTTCTATCTTGAACTAATTTACGTAACCTAAAACACCTCCCTTGTGTTTGAGTCATGTATTATATCCCTATTGTCCCTAAATGCTTTTCCTTGCCAAAGAATATTAACTTGACCAAGACATTTATTAGGTGATCTTGTGTAATTAAATGAACTACTGCTAGGTTTCATCGACATATTGCTACATGGTCTTGGGGGCTTAGTCATTGGTCAGGGATGTTAAATAGCATGCTGGCATTCTATATAGGGTTCTCTTCTTTTACTTCTCATTTTTTCTTTCTTGTTTCTTTTTATCTCTTTCTTTCTTCACATGTATTTTTTATGCCTGTGTAGTTAATATCTTTGTTATGATTATAGCTTGAATTTCTTTCCTTGACAAGAACTTTATATTTCATTTTTAGTCATATGATTGTTCGAGTATACTATTGTAGACATGTAATTAACTATCTACTAGTTTAGGTATTGTTCGAACATTGGCACAATCTCTTAGCTTTAGTGTGGAATCTCCTATTGTTGCTAAAAGGTGTAAGGTTTAAGTCCTTATTCGGATATGGGGGTATGTTTCCCAAAGACAAAAAAATGTCTTTCTTTTGTTGGTTAGAGTGTTTCATTTCTCGATGCAATGATAATTTGTTTGCTAGGTTTTAAACACATCTGTGCTTCTAGACCTTGCAGCCAAGAACATAAAATCTGATAATGTCTGATTTTTCTTCTTTGTAATAATCTATTGCCATGTGTTCTTTCAAGTTTCAGACTTAAGATTTCAATTTTAAAGCTGGGGTGAGATCTTTAACCCAACGGATAGTGCAGTCATTTATGTTTTTTAGAGAGTGATCAAAGACATGTGAAGTCTTATTTAAAATTATTCGAATGCTGATCCAAGAATTTTTTTTTTAGAGAAGGCATGCGGAAGGACTACAAAGACACTTTGATGGTGGTAGTGCTGTCGGAAGGACTGCCAGCATTAGGTGGTTCAGGTGGCGTTGTTTTGTTAATGGTAGTGCTTGTGCTCATGTGATGAACGTAAACTTGAAGTTGGACTTTTTCACAATCCATTGGTTATAGTATATGGCTGTTTAGTGATTTTACTAGTTAGGGCTACGTTTTTGGTTGCGAAACTTCTATTTTATTATATATATGTATATATATTTTAAATCCTTGACTAGTACTAGGTATGCTGTTGTAGGAGTTTAGAAAGTCATGGTTATAGGAATTTTTTAGGAATCTGTGTACTGTAGTTTCTATGAAATGGGCCCCTTGTTACATGATTTAAGAGTTGTAATGAAAGTTTGTCCTGTTTAAAGCATTAGGTACTTTTCTTTTTTCTTTTTCCTATTTGTTGAATTCTTCTACTAACTCGAGTGTGGAACTCAAGCGGCCTGTACGGAGTAAGGTACTTTTCTCTTTTATTTTTCCTATTTGCTGAATTTCTGTTCATTCAAATCGGTCAAATTGGCCTTAATCATCATAATCTGAACGCATCTCTTGTAATCCATTATTTTACAAAGCCTATTCCTATTTTCCTTGTTTTAATCTATACTAAGTTGTCCTTCATCACTAGTAGAGAGTGTATCACTCTTTAAAGGTAGAGAAGGCATGCAACTTTGATGGTGGTAGTGCTGTTGGAAGGACTGCCAGCATTAGGTGGTTCAGGTGGCGTTGTTTTGTTAATGGTAGTGCTTGTGCTCATGTGATGAACGTAAACTTGAAGTTGAGTAGAAGTGGAGGCAGAGCAAGTGCAGCTTAACATGAGTGTGGTGGCGGTGGCATCAGTTGCCTTGGTGGCAGTGGTGGTGGTCATTCAAGTGGCCACGGTAGATTTGTACTTTACCCTTCTAAAGGTTGTATACCTTTTCTGTTTCCTTTTTGTCTTTTAATTTATGCCATGTGAAAATCATTTTATGCATTTGATGGCAATCCTTTTTTCATTAAATCGCTTTATTCTTGGAATGTGCTATGTTAATGAGGGAGATTAAACTCATGCTATTAGCGTAGCTTTGTTAAAGATGTTTGCTTCATTAATATATTTCATGCGTGTAAATCTTAAACTTGCGTAAGGCATTTGTCATAGATAGAATTAAGCATTTGACAAGAAAACAAATGTACGTACATGTATATTTATATATATGAGAGAGAGGTAGGAAGTCAAGATGGCAGGAAAGCAATTGAATTGTTTTCATTAGCTATTCTTTCAGTTAATGCTATGCTTTCTTCTTAGTTTTATGAACCTTAGTGGCGGTATTGTGTTCTCAATTGATATGCTCAGAATCTTGAAAGAAGGATTTATTTCTTCTAAATTGCGCAAGATGTTTAATTTCTTCTTCAAATCTAAAAATTAAATTTTTTTTGCTTATGTTACAGGATTATTGCATTACTGCTTATGACCCAAAGATATAGGCTCATTTATTGCATAACAAGTAACTACCATTACTTCACTGGTTCAAGTCCTAGAGCTGCTACTCGTGCAAATGAGCCTATATTTCTTTGTTTAGATATGTGGTTGGCAGAGAAAGTTATGAATTCCATACCAGTTTCTTTTTTTCTTTTTTTGATAACAAGAACCCTTGACTCCACCTTCAGTGAGACCCAGTAAAACCCCGGATATGTGTAGCCTCACATATCGGGCAAAGTTGAGACTTACCAATTGAGCTAAACCCTTACGGGTATGAATTCCATACCAGTTAGTGTATTGATTTGTCAGTGGAATTGATTTTTTAAATTTTTTTAATGGTATATATTCATAAAAATCAAGGCACTTGAGTAAATTTTTACAAAAACAACTACTATTATAACTGGGCTATTCTTAGAACACGCATATATCAAGGTAAAATAGATTTGTAAGGCTTTCAATTCTAGGTGTGTGGATCAGCAGGCAACAGCGAAAGGTGCACCCTTCTGAGCCAAAAGGAACCTCTATCAAATGGGAATGTATTTAATATTTTCATTAAGGGAAACTGAATAAAGGTGTGATTAATCAACTTTCATAGCATTTTCTAGTTGCGTTTTGCATAAAATTTGAAATGGAGTTCACTTAGTAGCTAGTTGTTCCTCAATTTATTTCAATAGCATTGCACTTTTCATGCAAACTGGAGTCACTTCACCAGTAACATGAAGATTCTTTATGTTCTGTTAGCTATTGGTGGGGAATATGAATGAGGTAATGATGTAAAACTACGTTGTTTTTGTTGTATTTCTAATTTATTTTTCCCAATTTGTTTCTTTTCTTAATATATATATATATATAAATTTGTTCCCCCAATCTATTCAATTGCTCCAGCTCTCTCTCTCTCTCACATGCCCTACCTCTCTCTCACGCTCGCCATCGTGGTTCACAATTATGGATCTCTCTCTGTAGATTTCTCATTCTCTCTCTGTCTCTCAATCTCTCTCTTGATCTCTCAATCTTGAAGACCTAAGATTTATATGTGTTTTTTTTTTCTCTTCAGAGAATTGGCATTGAAGCTCAGAGCAATTGCAGAGGTCATCTACTCACCTCAATTCTTTCGCTAATTCCTGTATGTGTTCAAATTCATACCACTACCACCTCCACTTCACCTACACCACTACCACCTCCACTTCACCTACTACACCTATATCTCCTATATAAGGAGCCTCTCACATTTGTACTAATTAATCAAACTTGTAACAATCAATCAATCAATAATACTTGAATTGTAACACACTCCAACTAGCCCTATCTTAACCGGAGGAAAAAAGACCTTAGTTGTTGAGCATGAGTTAGTCAAGTCTGTTTTTAGTATGTATGATTTCAAAATGCATTCAAATCCGTGAATGTTATGTTTGAATATGGTTTGAAAAGGGAAATGATTTGAGGCCTAATTGGTTGTATTTTTATTTTTTTATTTGGTTTAGGAGATAAAAGTGAAACTAACCCAATAAGAAAAGATAAATGTAAGGTTGTGGTATTATATATAATATTAGTGAGGGGGTGAAATTTGGAAGAAAATTTTGGACAAGGAAGTTGTAAAATTTGAGAGAAGACAAAATTGAGATGGAATTGTAAAATCTGGGGGTTCCTTTTTCTATTTTTTGGTTTCCTGTAAAACTGGTATTGATAAAAGACAAAATTGAGATGGAATAGGCTGGTCACAGAGCTTAAAATATTTAAGAGATGTGTTAATATTTTATCCTTGCGAACAGTTAATTGGGCATAATCTTACCTATTTGCTTCATTACAGACTTTAATTTGTTTGGATTACCAGCTTCGGATCATTATAAAACCAAAGCCATGCATTGGAGTTGGGCCTTTATGTACTGCACAGCAGGTAGATTTTGCATGGTGAAATAATTGCCCAGTTTTCTGCTAAAGAGACTCGTAATATTTGTTGGCATATTATAATCACCGAAAGTCTTAGTTTTTTTATTAGCCGAAAGGCACTTGGGTCTGTAATCATTGTGATGCCCGAAAGGCACTTGGGTCTGTAATCATTGTGATGCCCTCAGGGATCATCTTGTAATTGTCTTGTTTGTAAACCCTAATCTTCATGTATAAATAAGGGGTGATATCTCATCATACCCTAAGCTGATTATTCAAAGCTTCAATATTATGGTATACAATAGCTTCTCATAAATGTGCCTTTTGGCAGATGCGTTACCATGTTCTTCGGCTATTACATGGAATTTGGACTCCTATTCCTCGATCTGTATGTGTCTTGCTTTTTCTATTTTCAGATTTCTTGGCTAGTGCTGCTTTTATTAATAATTGATTTATCGAGACATATTGGTTTGTTTTCTGTAACAGATGAAAGATTATATTACATATTTTAAAGCCCAATGGTTATCAGAGTCTTCATACTCCATTTCATTATGAGAGCATGTTTCGGCTGGAAGTTCAGGTCACCTTCTGAATCTTTATTCTTTCCCAATTATGCAATTATTCTCCGTTGACTGTCTTGGGATTTACCGTCGCTAATACTTCCGCATTTCCGACCCCTCCGCTTGGTTTCATTACCGACGGGTCAGTACCGTCGCTAAAGGGTATTATTTGCGACAGGTGCAGTTACCGTCGCAAAAAACCTTTTTTTTGCGACGGGAGGCGCGGCGTCGCTAAAAATCCGTGGTTTTTGCTATATTTTCTTGTAGTGATTGCCCTCAGGGTAATTTACCTTTATCCTTGCTAAATTTTGATAGTTTAACACTCTTCCTCGAATACTCTTTCAAATAACCTGACTTTTGGTAGAAGTCCTTTCTTCCCTCCAGATTGGCTGGCTCAATGCAATGTAGAGAATGGCAAGAGGAAGTTGTTGGAAATATGGGCTCCAGAGAGTTAGTAGAAAGAACCCATCACCAGAGATCTTTTAGGTAGCCGTATCTTCGTGTTTACACCAAGAGGTAAGAGAATGGATTGCTACACAATACAAAAATTGTGCTGCCTGATGTCGCAATGGTCTCTTTCACATTGCATATAGATTAAAAATCTGCCTAAGGGGGCAACTGTCATTTACTATGCTTATATGATACACACTAAAATTGGCAACAAAAAGGTCGCTGCAAAGGTATTCTTTTTTTACTTTTTTGACTATGGACTTGTTGTTCTTAGACATGTACGTGCAAGTGCAAATGCAAATGCTGAAGTTGTGGAGATAATAATCTACAATGTGAGCTTAGACAGTTCCTTTTTTTTGTCCCTTTCTTTTGAATTGAGATATTGGTTCCTCTCTTCTGATTGAAACAAACTCACTTGGTTGGAAACTCAGATATATTATTTTATTTATTATATATGTTGTATTTCAATAGCATTGGTTCCTCTCTTCTGATTGAAAAAAATCGTTCAATAATTTAACTGATCATAAAATCAGAAATGTACAGAGAATTGATCCCAAAACAAAAAAAAAAAAAAAAAAAAAAAGAGGAAAGAAGAACACAATGGTCGAAACTCTAATCTCACAAAATTGGCCACAACCTTAGTAATATTCTCAAAAACTAAAGATTACAATGTAAAAACCTAATATTTATACAAGTTACCAAAAATAGAAGACTACAATAGGTAATGACTTCCCTCCATATTACTATTCTCTGTATCTTATTTTGTGGGCTTCTGACTCTAGACTCACAATGATGATTCGAACAATTCATTTCATAGGTCCATTAGTAAAGATAAGTTGTACAAAAAATTAATTTCATTGGACATTATTAGACACAAGTAAAAATTACATAAATCGTCAGTTGTTATGAGTTTAAATTTAAATCATCTATTTTATAAAATAAAATGCAATTTGTTTATTTATTTATTGATATTTGATAAAATTAATTTTTTGCATTCACTATGACGTTGACCAGATGAAATTACTATTATGAACCTACAGTGGGGCTCATAAAATGAAATTTGGATTATAGAAGATAGTAATATGGAGATAAGCTATTCCCTCTCTAATAAGACTCTAAATTAGATTAAAACTTATAAATAACCATAAAAAAAGTACGAAATCTTTAATTTTTCTTTTAGCCAATGCCTTTTACTCCCTATCAGGTAATGGTAAAGGATGGTGAAAGAGACGTTGAAGAGAGGGGGTGGAAGAAGAGGTTCGACAATTAGACACAAGTAAAAATTACATAAATCGTCAGTTGTTATGAGTTTAAATTTAAATCATCTATTTTATAAAATAAAATGCAATTTGTTTATTTATTTATTGATATTTGATAAAATTAATTTTTTGCATTCACTATGACGTTGACCAGATGAAATTACTATTATGAACCTACAGTGGGGCTCATAAAATGAAATTTGGATTATAGAAGATAGTAATATGGAGATGAGCTATTCCCTCTCTAATAAGACTCTAAATTAGATTAAAACTTATAAATAACCATAAAAAAGTACGAAATCTTTAATTTTTCTTTTAGCCAATGCCTTTTACTCCCTATCAGGTAAAGGATGGTGAAAGAGACGTTGAAGAGAGGGGGTGGAAGAAGAGGTTCGACAATGGATGACGTTCTGCAAATCTGTTGACAAAGAAAATGGAGATGTCGCTTATGATAAAATAGTCAAAACAAAGTGTAGTCAAGAGAAAAAGAGAATATTTTCTCCCAAAATTTAAAATTTAATGGACCTCTTATTCTCCTAACTAATACTATGTACTTATTGTAAGAGAATTAGCACAAATTTTCCTATATTTTTTTAGAAGAGATTGACTTAAAAAAAAAGAAAAAAAGAAAAACTGAGCAGTAAACAAAAAGCAATGTGATGTGGGAGTAGAGGTGTAAAAATGGCCCACAGCTTGAAGATCGCCTGCTGTCTGGGATGGACCCGACCCGATTAGGTCTGAGTCCGAACCTAGTCCGAGACCTTGAGCTTGGGCCTGGCCAGTCATTTTGAAGTCCGGCCCGGCCCATCGCTCACTCAAGGCCCACTCAAAACCCGCCCCGCCCAAGGTCTAGTGTTGTTTTTAGTAGAAAAGAATAAAATTTTGGTAGAAAAAATAGAAAAAAAAAAATGCCCAAGTCCGGCCCAAGCCCGAGCCCAAGCACAGGCCCGGCCTGCCCAAGGCCAGAATACCCCTGGGCCTAGGATTGGGCCTAATTTATTGGTCCGTGGTCCGGTCTAGCCCAGCTTGAATTTTGGCAAGAGCCTAGATGGCCTGAGCTGGGCCCAATTTACACCCCTATATTGGAGGAGTTTAAGGATGGAAAGAAAGGTGAGCGTCAACGTCTTAGCTGTTAAGTACATGTAGCAGAACCAAGCAATGTCAAGAAGAAAGTATTTATGGTAAGAGAATTATCACAAATTTTCCCATATTTTTCGGAAGAGATTGATTTTTTATTTTTTATTTTTTTAAAGAAAAAAATTGAGCAATAAACAAACAATATGATATGGGAGGAGTTTGAGTAGAGGTGATCACCGATCAGGTTGGGTTGGGTGGCATTCCATCCGTCATCAGTTCAAAATTAGGCGGATTGAAAAAAATCAAGATGCATCTGTCCACTATTTTGGCAGATGCAGATTGAACGGGTTAGCGGATGGATGCGATTGGTTTGACAGTTTGGACTTTACAAATTTTGGGTATTTTTTAAAATTATAATTCATAACTTTTATAATCTACAGTAACTAATAATTTAAAAAATATGTATTATTTGTTTATAATAGATCACGACACCATACATGTATATTTTTAATGTATTATTTTCTATTTTTACAAAAATATATATTTTATTATTTCCACTCTATGTTGTTACTTGTTAGCAGTTTCTTTTTTCTTTTTCTTTTTTAACTTCATTTATAGGCGGATCGGGTTCATGCAGATACGAGATGGTTGATCCGCCATCCAAACCGTATCCGCAAATTTTGAAATATTTTATCTGCATCCATTCACTGAAAAACTTGCATCTACGTAAAATCAATCAGATTGGGTCGATTTAATTGGTTTGGACAGGAAATCAATTGGGATGGATCGATTTGATTAAGTTGGACGGGTTGGACAGATTCATAATCACCCTTAAATTTGAGGATAGAAAAAAGGTTGAGCCGCAATGTCTTAGCTATTAAGCACATGTAGCAAAGCTAAGCAATGTCATTTGCCAAAAAGGAGAATCGTAATGAAAGTGGTGGTCATCTACCACGTGTGTGTACCTGTCCGTATTCTCATCTATATACATACAACATCGAGATGGAACCCTCCAAGCCTATACTATTAGCCCTTGCCCTTAACTCATCATCACGGCCACAACCACCACCACAACCTATCACCATTGTCACCATCACTACCACTATTATCACCGACACTGCAAATTAAAAAATAGTGTTAGATATACTTTTTTTGTGCACTTTTCAATGAAAAAATGGGACATATAGATACTTTTATCCACTTACAAATAAAAAATAGAAACATATATGCGTATTTGTACACTTTTAAGTTACCCAAATAAAATACATAAAAAAACATGAGACAAATGAGAAGCAATTTTAAATTAGAAATGAGGATAAATAGAAATATTTGTTGGTAAATTTTAATAATAATACTAGAAAAATATATATAATAAAATTAAATATAAATGACAAAACAATCTTGTTTTTTTTTATTTTTTATATTAAAGAATGAAATACAGAATAAATTACAAAACTAAAAATACATGAAGGAATTAGATTATCATGAAACTCACATAAACAAAATCACTAATAGAACAAATTATTAACATGGATAATTACATATTAGAATTCGTCAAGGTAAAATTAATTTTGAAAATTAAAGAACAAATGACAAGAAATGAAGCAAATCAAAACCTGTGGTGTACACAGTTTTCTTAAAACAGATTCGTCGCCCCGAATAGCTTCAACAAACAGACTAAGGGCAATACTCTCTCTTTAATAAGAACTAGGGCTGTGAATGAACAGAGGTGTTTGTGAATAAGCTTAAGCTTGGCTCGATAAGAACTCGTTCGTACTTGGTTCATTATTTTTTTTAATTTTTTGCATGCGAGCTCATTAAATTTTTAATAAATAACCCCAAATATACTAAGACTCGGCTCGTAAGCTTGGCTCGTTAGCTGGCTTATTTAACATTTATTATTTATATATTAAATAATGTAAAAATATGTATAAAAAATAAGATAAATATGTTATTTATATATTTAAAAAATATAAATGTAAATAGTAGTCAACTATAGATAATACATTTATATAATAGTGCTGGTAGATGTTATTATTTTGGTAAAATATTGACTTTTTTTTTGGGTATGTTTATATATTGTGTATATATAATTGTATAATCAAAATTTTAATTGTAACTTTGATCTCATACGCAAGTATGAATTTATAAATTTTTTGGCTCGTTAAGGTTCGTGCACAAACTCGAGCTTGAGTCAAGCCTAAGCTAACTCGGCTCGAGTTTGGTTCATTAAATTTTTATTGAGCTCGAGCTCGAGTTTGAACTCGTTAAAATATTAATA